GTAATATCGGTAACTAATGAAAGAAATGACATGAGCATGTGTCTAGATCATCATTTACATATAGGCCTACTAAACTCGCCCAAAAAACATACACATTGGCATTAAAAAAGACTTCACGCCGAAGGAATTGCCTATCTGTGGTCGAGTGGCTAATTTATTCTCATTGATAAATGGTTTATTAATGATAAGTCCATCTTATTAATGACCTAGATGACAGATGACTCATATGGCACAGGGTAGAGATTAGTTATAAACACTAACCGACGATTACATTTTTTTTTCTTTCAAAAGCTGTCTCGCTCTCTTACACTTCACTAAATGATGTTCCACAACCTTTTGGATTTAAGTAATCACTGAAAGATGACTGGCAGGAATACGTTTAGAAAAAAATGGAAGAGACTGATAGAAGGTTAGAGAGAGAGAGAGAGAGAGAGAGAGAGAGAGAGGAGAGAGAGAGAGAGAGAGAGAGAGAGAGAGAGAGAGAGAGAGAGAGAGAGAGAGAGACGGTGGGGAAGACAGACAGGACAGAGACGTGAGGGAGGGAGAGGGAGAGGAAGAATGAAAATGACAAGAAGCTTTAGAGAGTGAGAATAAGAGTTAAAGTTGGAGGCATGAGCGAGGGAGAGAGATAGACAGATAGATAGATACAGAGAGAGAGAGAGAGAGAGAGAGAGATTTATGTAAAGAATTCACGAATGCACATGCGCGCTTATACATACTGACACGTTTCCACACCTTTCTCAGAAACCTAAGTGTGCAAAAGCGATATCCCGGCTTTGGAGTCGCCACAGAGAGCTTGCTGACGAAGGTATGAGGAACGTGGATACGGTGCAGAGGTGGAGGATTATGAGGGCGTGGTAGGTGTGAGGACTCATGGCGTCCCGGAGTTAACGCCCTGTAGCATACGTTCATTATTTTTACCTTCGTATGTTGGAAACGTTTCATCACGTCCACAAACCTTCTTAGAATCAAAGTCACGTTAAAATCTCAGCGAAAACCCATCTCTCTCTATATATATATCTTTGCCCAATCGCTTTTCTTGCAAATCTACGTGAACAGTAATTCGGAATGGTATCAAATCCATGTATGTACAGATTTCCGAAAAAAAAAAACGCCAGCTACTGCCGCAAAGTTCATGTATGTAGTATATGTTTATGTATGTGTATTTTTATCGACGATCTGTGTACAGCAGGATGACGAGGCCTTCTCCCGGGCCTAACCCAAAATGTACCGTCTGAAAGCCCCCGAGACGCCGCCACCCACCCCAAATAACCGTACTCGCCGTGTACATAGGCCTATGTCAGTGCAGTGACCTTGTGTGGGAACAGAGGGTCATTAAGGTCGTTCGTGCAGACGCATTAATCACTGGGCCGATATGCGTATGGAGGCGTAGAGGGGGATCATTACCGCGGCGGCAAAACCCAGACGTTTGCAACAAAAAACGGACCACCTGCCTTAGGCCTTCCTTGGGTTACGCAGGTAGGCTTTCTTGGCGGTCGATGCCAGATGGCTCAAGAGGACATATAATCCACACGTGTTATTTAGTTACGATTAGTATATTGCACTTTTTTTGGTTACAGAGCGTGAGATTTTTTCCTCTTTGTTAGTCAGGTTCCGATATTGCCTTGAGGTGCCATGGTCGGCGAGCTGTCATGCGTTTGGCATTTCTGACAAAGAGGTGGTTGACCCTGAACGTACCCCCTGCATGACAGTATCCTTACTCATTATATTTTTTTCTTCGCTCTGAAAGTGTTCCTTTACGGGGTACATCTCATTCCTTACTGAATTTTGTCTTGTTGGATAAGAAGCTTACCATATTGCGTTTGATTTAAAACCGCATCTTATACTATGAGGTGAACACGGCTCCTTCTTAGCGGAAACCGACACATGGTCCTTGTTATATGAAGTATCAAGTATAATAATAATTCATTAAGTAGATTGCCTTTTTTCTGTTTCGTACCCTAGCCCCACGATTATATATTATTCCGACGTTCTAGCCTACCGCAAGGAGATTGATCATATTTTGTCCTCTGTTTTGCCTTGGATTTTTTTCCCAATTTCTTTTGGTAGGAATGTGACAATGGGATACTATACGAGTTTTTGTTTTGCTCTGAAAAGATTTTCAAAAGTCAATCATGGCTGAGTAATGATTTATTTGTGCAAGTGCTGTCCGTATTTATTTCCTTTTTTGTTCTGTTTCCTGACCCCTTTCCAAAGTTCCTCTCTTTGTGTATTTCAGTTCTGCTTCTTTTCATCCCATTCTTCCTATCTATCTTTCAGTCTCCTACCCTCCCAACCCTCAACATTCCACAATCTTCTCTCTCTCTCTCTCTCTCTCTCTCTCTCTCTCTCTCTCTCTCTCTCTCTCTCTCTCTCTCTCTCTCTCTCTCTCTCTCTCCTCCCTCCCTCCCTCCCTCCCTCCCCTCCCTCCCTCCCTCCCTCCTCCATCCCCCTCCCTCCTCTCCCTCCTCCCTCCTCTCCCTCCCCCCTTCCCCCTCCCTCCCTTCTCCACCTCCCCCCCCCGCCCCCACTCTCGTTTCTCTCTCTTCTTCCTCAGTCTCTCTCCTCTCTCTCCGATCTCCTCTCTCTCTCTCTCTCTCCCTCATCTCTCTCTCTCTCTCCCATCTCCTCTCCCTTCCCTCTCCCTCTCCCCTCTTCCCTCTCTCTCTCCCCTCGTCTCTCCCACTCTCTCTCTCCTCTCTCTCATCTCTCTCTCTCTCTCTCCCTCTCTCCTCTCTCTCTCTCTCCTCTCTCTCGTCTCTCTCTCGTCTCTCTCTCTCTCTCTCTCTCTCTCTCTCTCCTTCTCTCTCCCTCTCTCTCCTCTCTCTCTCTCCTCTATCTCTCTCTCTTCTCTCTCTCTCTCTCTCTCTCTCCTTATCACCCATACAGAAGGAGGTGTGGGTGATGAGAGACAAGCATACTAGACAATATTATAAAGGGATTTGCCGATAGTTAAGATGGGAGGTATGATGGCGGGAGAGGGGCTAAGGGTGAGGGAGGACACATGGAGGAGTAGAGTGAGTTATAAGTTCCTCTCAGTGATTTGCCATGGTATTCTGCGTAAGATATATCTGAAATGTACTTTCGCATTAAATATATGACATAATGTGTATAAAAGTCATAAGTGATAGTAAAGTAGCAAATGCACGGTGACACCTGGCTCTTGGATAATAAATATTTTGGTCTTGTCAAGTCACTTTTACTTTGGTTTATATTCATTCACCTATTTTTATTCTATTTGGAAGTTTAGAATGAAATTAAAAGTTATTTTTCTTGATACTATTTTATTTTTTTAGGAATTACCTAGCCAAGTGAAGAACAAAAACAACAACGTAAATTAAAGGCATCCGCTTGATATACAAATCCTTATAGAAAATAAAGATTTATTTTTTATTTTTTTGTATGTTTGTATAAATGTACGTTGTTATTGATCTGCCATAAGTGTCCAACTGTAAGAAAACTATGAAGGAAAAAGTATCCTCATAAAGTGACTGTTTGCCCAGCCCTTAAGTGGTCAGAATACGGTCGAGTAACCCGGTGTTTGCTCTACACTCTGGCCACACCATACACACTCCCAGATACTAATTACTAGGTGTCCTGACTCGCGCGTATACGTGTGTGTGTGTGTGTGTGTGTGTGTGTGTGTGTGTGTGTGTGTGTGTGTGTGCGTGTGGCGCGTGCGTGTCACGTGTGTGTGTGTGTGTGTGTGTGTGTGTGTGTGTGTGTGTGTGTGTGTGTGTGTGTGTGTGTGTGTGTGTGTGGTGTGTGTGTGGTGTGTGTGTGTGTGTGTGTGTGTGTGTGTTTGTTGTTAACAGTGATAAGCTAAGATCATCGGTAAACAAACAAACAAACTAAAATATAGATAACACCATGAAACAAACAAAATAGCAGGAATATCTACGCAACTCCGACCGGTCATCAGAAGATGCTGGCCAGCCCCCCCCCCCTTCGCCCATCTCCCTAAGACGCACAAGGTATTCCGAACAAGTCAAGGTGTAAAAAGGGGGGGGGGGTGATCAAATAAAAATAGAATAGATAAGGAGAGGAGTTTATTTTCATATTGATAGTAACGTTATTGTGTGATTTTTTTTATCATTGATAGTGGGTGGACAGTGGAGTCTACTATAAAGAACGTTCAAAAAGTGGGACATAAATAAAGCAATTCAAAAAGACAATTAACGGGAAAAAAAGGTATTAAACACATTGCAAACTAGCTTCCTAAGTGAGGGCTAACAAAGATAATTGCTCATAATTCTACGTAT